CAAGAGTGAACAAGATCTCATCTTAATCTGTTTCATTATTTCTCCTTGTATAGCACAAGTCAACACAAGATTAGGTTTAATTTACAAAAAAATGCAAAGTCATTACTCATATCTGGATCAGGATTTTATCTGCTTCGTTTTGCAACACTTTGTGTGTCAATATGAATGGGAGGAGCTGCACGGTGTGTGGTGAGGTGGAAACAGTACTGCTTGACTTCAGGACCTTTTGCAGGGATTGCAGGTGTCAGAGCTCTGGTATCACCCTTCCTCTACAGAGAAGGAGCTCTGTGCTCAGGGAAACCAGGGTTTATGTACCCTGATGCATTTCAGTGCTTCTGGACGTGGTACCTACATCCTCAAGGTGCTCAGTGGGAGGCCCCTCACTGCCAAAGCTGCTCCCCTCCCTGTCAGTGCCCCCGTTCCTGCTGCAGGGAGATGTTTCCCCACCATCCATCAGTCCAATGAGCTCTCCTATGACTTTATTGCAGCCTCTCTGCCGCTCTGGGAGCACTGATTGCACTGTGGTTAATGGGTCTGCACAGGCACCAGCTCCAGATGAGCTGCTCTGAGTGCCTGCAGGGGAGGTCAGCCAAGGGCATGTGGGATGTCCCTGGGACTCCTGACTCCCTGGGAAGGGCTGCCCAGCTCCGTGTGCAGGGAGGGTGGCAGGAGACCCTGTGTGCCTGGGCACGGTGCACGTGGGGACACAGCCCTGCTGCTCTGGGTGACTCTGCTGAGACTCGTGGCTGGATTAAGGTTAGAGATACTCTGCAGGGAAAGGCATGTTACTGATTTGAGTGATACTGATAATAAATCAATGCTTTAGGATAGTGTTGAGCAAGTTGTGCTGCTTCCAATGGAATTTGAAAGGCCTTCATCTGCATTCAGGCAGCTTTCACTGCTCTGATCAGTCATTACAGCCGAAAACGCTGCCAGCATCCAAGAGAGGTGTGCTGTGTCTGCTGCCCAGGGGGCAACCGTACTTCCAAAATGTGTGTGGGGCGTCCCCGATGGCAGGGATAAGCATTAGGGTCTGCGCAGCAAAGGCTGCTCTGCAAACCGTGCCAGGCACTGCAACAGGACGAGGACAAAACGCTCCCTTCGTGCCTGAGCTGCCGCCAGAAGAAGAAACAAGGTGCAAGAGCTCAGACACAGACCCAGGGCGGTCCCTCTCCATCCCCCGTGCATCTCTCTCGGCACGGAGGGAGCCCCGCGGGCTCCTGCCTGCAGCCCGAGTGCCCTCTGCTGTCCCCGCCGCGGGACCGCGCTGCCCGCCCTGCCGCGCTGCCAGCCTGCACTGTCCTTGGCTGGTGCCGGCTGTGCCGGTCTTCCTCTCCTGGAGCATCTTCCCGCACTCACCCACGGGCACGTGCTGTTTTGGCTCTGGGTGTCCGTAGACCGCTCTCGCTTTGCTCCCCGCTTGCTGTGTCAGGAGTGGCTCTCTCGGGCTGTCTTGTGCTTTGCAGCCTCTGTGAGGCTTCCGGGAATCACTGCTCCCGCCGTATTCCAAAGGGATTCCCCGGCAGAAAGACGTTCTTCCTGTTAGTAAGAAGACCGAGGGCAAGGGCCCAAGCTCGCTGCCGCCAGACGTCGGGAGGACCACTGGATGGAAGGAGAAGCAGGGCTCAGTCAGATCAGAGCCAGGCTGATCACAGGCACTCTTTGACCCCCAGGTGTGTGTGTGGTGTGGGACAGCAGTGGAGGAGGTGAGGGAGTGGCTGTGCCCGAACCGCAGAGGGAGGTGTGTGCCCCAGGGAACACCAGCCCGGCGCTTTCCAGTTCTTGAGGGGAGTTCTACTCTTGTCAGGCAAGGATAAGTCCTTGGTTTTCCGTCCCTTTTGTGACCCTACTCATCTCAGCTGCAGCTTTAGGCCAAATGTCTCTGCTGCAGGAGTGACTGATGCTCTGCTGTCCTGTCTTTCAGGAAGTGCCATTCCCAGCCTCTACAAGCTGTTTGATTTAGAAGGAATCAAGCTCCTAAGCCATCCTCCCTTTTACAACTGGCTAAAACAGCTGGGCTGCAAGCAACAGGGAACTGTCAGATAGATTATTTTTATTTTCTCCCTCATCTCTCCCATCCCATCTTGAATTGCCTGGTGGGGGAGAAAACTCCTCCATCTGTCCACAGCCCCCCAGGTGGGCAATAATAGATGCTTCATATAGAAAAATTCAATTAGACTTGACAAGAGATATATGATAGTACTTCCTTGCCAGGGCCCCATCTTGCTCTGTTCTGTTCCTCTGCAAGAAACTTGCTATAGAAGCTGTTGAGAATAAAAAACCCAAAAGCAACCACTTTTTAAGTATTTTTGGCCGTATTATAATGACATTTCTAGCCAGGACCAGCTGTGGTGGGCTGTGTAGAAAAGAAAAATTACAGGGGCATCTCATACAACTGCAGCCACCAAGGTGCAGGTGGCTACCCAGCCCTGGTGAGAGCAGGACAGGGCTGTGTGTTGTGCTCTACTAGGGCTTCTCTTGGTGCCTCTGAGTACTGGAGCAGCCAAGGTAAGAGGTGTGTTCATGTGGTGTCTTGGCCAAGAGTGAAGGGTTCGTGTCTTAAACTCTCCAGTTCTCTTCATCCAGCTGGTCCATTCCAGTGTGGGGTGTTTGGAGGACAGTTCCATTCTGTCTTTGGTGTAGTTCAGCAGTGCTGGGGTGCACTGTGGGTTTGATGTGCAAAGGGAACAGGAGCCCTTTCTGCAACTCCTGTTGCTGTAACTGGGACTGGGAGGGGACCCTTTTGTCTGGTTTCAGTTTGGTTGTTTTTTGGGTTTTTTTTTCTACAACATGAATGCTCCAGCAGCACTCAGTTTTTGTGTTTTAATGCTCAGATTTCTAAATATTCTGAATCTGGGGGTTGAGAATACCTGTTATAAATTACTTGGGGTCAGAGATCTTCCTGTCTGTACAGCATGTGTCTGCATTGGTCACCAGTGTTCCCAAAAGCTGCTGTGCAGTGTCACACAGCTGCCTGCTGGTGTTGGCACAGCAGAAAGCAGAAAGAACTGGCATTGAAGCTGTAACAGAGCCCTGCAGTGGCTGGGAGATTTAATACATCCAAGCCCTTTTGTCACAGTTGCACTGACTTTCTGTAATCCCATGAAATTGTATCATCTCAATTTCCATGAAGTCTGGAACATGTGAGAGCCCATCTCTGACAGGTGAATGGGCAGTTTGGAATTGGATGTACGTGTGCAATGCAGATCTCAGTGTGTTCACACTTCTGGTATTTGATCAAAATTCAAAAGGCATTTGGAGCAAAATATTTATAATGTGAGCAGGATTTTTTTTCCCCATGTGCCCAGACACTCACTTGCTTTGGGATTCTGACTGATGTGGCTGAATGCAAGGGGTAATGGCTCCCTTGAGGTCAGCAGTGACTTTGGGGAGCAGCCATGGGGGGCAGAGGTGGCTGTTCTCTGCAGGGAGGCTGCAGGCACTGAGTTCCTTGGAAAGCACCTCTCTGAGGGAGTGGGAAGGTCAGGACAGCTTTGCAAGATGCCCCTGACAGCCAACATGAACAGCATGAGGAGGGTAAGCCCCCAGGCAGCTGTTCATGGTAACAGAGCTGCTGGGGAGACTTTGTGTGTTTAGTGTGTGTTTAGTGGCTCAGCCTAGATAAACCCAAAGTGGGGACCACGGCCCTACCCTCTAAGTACAAGGGCCACAATATCCAAAGGCTTAATCCTGAGGTTTATCCTGACTCTGAGATGGTGGATTAGGAAAGGTTCAGTTTAACAGTTGCATCAAGATGTGGAATATTGATCCCCTCGCTGCACTGATTCCTTAGGGACAGATGGAGGGCTGGCTTCTTCTGTGGGGCAGAAAGTTGGCAGCGAGTTGAAGATTAACCAGTCAGCTGCACTAAAGGCTGTGGTGAATAAAGCAGCAGTTGTGTGACCGTGTGTGCAGGGGGGATGCAGGGGAAAGAGCTAAATTGTGAACTGGTTCTGGTGCCTCCTGGGTCAGAGGTAAGGCTGAGCTCACAGCAGAGCCAGTGACTGTTGACCTGGAGGGTGTCTGGCAGGACTGGGCTTTGTAGGAGCCCTCCTGGGCCTTCTCTGTGCCTTGCATGAATTCTCACTGTGCTTTAAGTTCACTTCTGCTTGCTGTTGCGCTGCAGCCCTGCTGCACATGGAGCATTTCTAATGGGTCCAGGCTGCTGGATTGAGGAACAGAGCAGTTCCTCTTCCAGGGACACTCGTGGTACCACACAAGGTACAATGACTCCTGGTTTTGGGTAGGACTGGCTGATGTGGCTCCACATAACTAAACAGAGAACATATGCTTGAACACAGGACACAGACACCCAGCACACAAGGGAAGATCCACACACAGCTGTGTCACTTTATTAGGTTTGCTTGGGCTCTGGCACAGCATGGCTGTGGTTTGGGAGCCCTGTGTGCCCGGGGCACCCAGGGGCAGCCCTGCAGGAGCCCAGGGAAGCAGTGTGCACAGTGCCCAGGGGGAAGCTCTCCTTTGGCTGCAGGCAGGAGCAGTCACTGCTCAGGTAAAGGGGCACTTGGATGCAAAGTGGCAGCCCAGGGAGGGAAGACAGACAGAGACACAAAAATACAAGTGCCTTCTCTAGGCAACAGCAGCTCTGTTAGGGGATGCTCTTCTGAGGGGAATAACTACAGGGACAGGCTTGGCTCAGGAGAGCTTAGGGGTCTGTTCAGAATGGGGATTCACAGCCCTGAGTGATATCAAGAGGCACAAGTGGGAGAGTGAAGTGCTGTCTTGTCAGTGAACACATGGAGGAGGCAGACAGGTACTTCTTGCAGAGATGGAGTGAGGCAAAACAGCTTTGTGTGTGCAGGGTATCTCCTCCCTGCAGGGTCAGACTGGGTGACCAAACACTTGCACAAAGCATGCAGAGGCCAGGGAGGGGCACGTTAGTTTGTTTTCATTTGTTCCTGGACCCCACCCCCAATTTTTCCTAACCTATTTCCCTAAGTTGTTGTCATATCTCTCTCTCTCCCAGCAATTACTGTCATCTGTCTGAGGGAGCCAAATGAAGCCCCAGGGTTGGACACCAGACAGGTTTCTGTTCCCAACACTTGCCTCGATAAATGGATACTGGGAACAGTTTAAGGGAAAAGGATCCAATCCCTCTTGTTTTGCATTATCACTAAAAATTAAACTAATAGCACTTGACAGCCAAGCTAGAGCCCCTCTGTGGTAAGCAATGACATCTATTGTTTGTAAATGGGAGAAGCCAAGGTTCTCACTGCAGGCCATGGAAGCAGTTGGTGACAGAGCTTGTGACAGGGCTCTGGGTTTCCCTGGTACGTTCTCAGGCACAAGGTCTATGTTTTTCTTTCCTACTTTCTTCCACTCTTCACCTTCCAGAAAATATGCCTTAAGTGCCCCTCTAAGTTAAGGAGTGCCCAAGTCTGGGAGCAGGCAGGAGGGGTGTCTGGCTTGGGGTTAATGGCTCAGGAGAGAAGGTCTGCAGGACTTTTAGGTCATCTCCCGTCTGATGGAGAACATCAGTGCAAGTGGTGAGGCTGAGCCTTGTGGTGCAACCTCAGATCCATCCCCACTCTTTGCACAGTCCCCCTGAGGAAGGCTGGGCGCTGGCTCTGGCGTCTTGCAGGCGCGTTCCTACGCAGAAGGGCCCGATGCTCTACAGCCAGAAGCAGCACCATGCAGAGACCATCCAGAGGCCGTGGGATGCCCTGAGGGAAGTCAGCTCCAGCATGCAGGCCCCAGCTGAGCGTGGCTACGGCTCCACTGTCACGCTGCTGTTGGTGACGCGGGCGCCGTACCAGCCCTTCCAGAACAGCGTGTCCTGGCCGCCGTGCTCGAAGCGCACGAAGCGCACCCCGGGCCCGTACTTGGAAAAGGTGTGGGAGATCTTTGGGACAAGAGACAAAAGGGTTGTTGGTAAGCATCAAACCACCCTGAACCTACAGTGCACAGAGCCTTCAGCCCCACACCTGCCATGCTAGGTAACAATGGGGACATTTACAGTGGAAGGAGCTTTGATCCCATTATTTTTTTCAGAACCTCTCCCACTTGGACATCTCCTTCACTTTACACCTGCAGTGGTAACTCAGCAAGTTTCCAAGTTTCCTGCAAGGCAGCCTCCCAGTATAATCCCTTTGTTTAATCACAGGGTCATGGCTCCAGAGAACACGTGACAGAGCCTTCTCCTCCTGCAGGAGAACTTTCCTGCTTCCCTCTGCTTCAAAATATTCCCGATTCATGCAGGTTGGGTGTCACCCGCTGAGGCTGCAACTCACCTCAGTCCAGCTGCCATCGTTGTCCTGTGGGATGGTAACAGTCTCACTTTTGTACTCAGCCAGCACATCCTCGTTCTCCGAGAGCAGTTTCACGCAGAGCTCGTAGAGGCAGCCGGCGTCGCGGCGCCCCGCGTACCTGCAGGGACAGCCCGCTGCTGGCACCGCCTGGCAGCTCTGCAGAGAGCCACAACACGGGCTCTCCACTCCCACCAAGGGCCTTGCTTTGAGGTGGAAATGGTTCTTGCCCCAGCCCACCACCTCCCCTCATTCACAGCACTTTGGAGTTCACGTGCACCGACACTTTGAAGCTTGTGGGAGCTGCCTGTGAGCCCTGTTCCACTTCCAGGGCATCCTGGCAGCTGAGGTTTTAAGGCCCAGTATATATGAGGGACGTGCCTTCCCTGCCCTTCCTTTTCTTTCTCAGCTCTCTGCCTGCCTTCTGAGGCATCCTTGCTACTTACCAGTCTCTTACCACAATTTTAGGCTGGGTTGTGTCCATCAGCTCTTCCCAGTAGCCCTCAGCCCTAAGGTCAATGACCTGAGCCTTTCGACACCACCTGAAAGACAAGATGTTATTGGTATCATGGTCTCTCCTGGGACTGGGGGAACCAAAAATGTTCCCTTCCCTAAATAAGAGAAGAAAGCAGCCTTACTCATAAGATGTAACAAAGTATTTATGGACTTCTTCACTAGGGAATTCTTTTCCAAAGTCCCCTGGGAGCTCTTCAATTTTCCAGCCATCACCTCCATTCTCTACCTCTCCCCAGTGCTCCAAGTCTTCTGCAAATGGCAGAGAAGAGACTTGGATGAGTCTTAGTTTCTGTGGGCCTGGGGAACCTGACCATCTCCCACTGGAACCTTCTTTTGGCTTGTGAAGGCTCAGTGTTAGACACAGCACTAATTTTGTATGTAGACTATGGATATGTTAAGTAGAGGTCAGGCAAAAACCTTTAGTCTGGCTGAGCTTAGTACTACCAAACTTTAACATTCCCCAGCAAAATGGCTGTGTAGTTGTAGGTTTGTCTAAGGAAGTACTCCAGGGAAAGGATTTAGGTATTCTGAACAGTGTATCAGCACTTCCAGTGGTCACAAGACAGAAACAGCCTGGGGAGAGATGCTGATTGCTTTATTTCTGTTTTCTAAATCTCTAAGTGGTATTTTCAGAAGCAGTAAGGCCTTAAACATAGGGCTTTTCTGGTCTTAGCCAGAGGGAGCCTGGATGTTGGAAAAGCTTGCAGAGTCAAATGGAGAAGCTGTGTTGATATTGCTTTGGTCTGTGATGTGTGAAATTGTTGCTGCTTGGGTTGTGAGGCTTGTTTACTGCTGCTTATTGCTACTACAGCCCTGGGAAGTGAAGCTCATGGATCCAGAATAATGGCACGTGGGGTATGTGGGCTGTGTGGGGAGGGGAAAAACATGATTTGCCTGTGCTGCTCCAAGGAAAGAAGCCTGAAGGGCTGGTGAGCTGAGGGCAGATAGGCCCCTGAGCAGGGAAAGGCTTCCTCTCTCCTGTCATGGTTTGGCAAGAAGCAATACAGAACAGATGCCATGACCATTACGGCACTGGACGGGTTCTGCAAAGGACATTTTTGTCTCTCAGACTTGATTTGGATCCCTGCAGAGGTTATATAAACCTAATGTGAAGTAAAGCCCTTTGCAAAGACTGATTATCAAAGGCCTTCGTGCCCATTAAATGATTTGGCTGCGTGCAATGAGTGATTTGACTCTCGGGCAAGGAGAAAATTCTGCAACCTGACAGCAGCTAAGATCTGCTTTCAAAGAGTGGAAATGCCCAATTCTCTGTGACTGGTTATCTCTCTGAAATCTCGGGGCAGGTTGTGCTTGTCTCTCACCTTCACCACATGGGTTCTTGATGAGGTTCTTCCTTTTCTTACTCAGGAAGTAGAAGTTTTGCCAGTTCTCTGCATCCTCCTCTGACTCTGCCCCAGTGAGCCCTTCCTGCTGGCACTTCAGGATCCACAGTGCAGCTCCATCGACCAGGTTCTTCCACTGGCAGCAGACCAGGCGACACACAAGCACCAGATCCACTGCAGGTATGGCAGCCAGGATTCGGATCAGGACTGCTTCAGGGAGGGACTCCATCCCTGGGCTCAGCAGCGTCAGACACTGAGGCAGTAGGAAAAAAGGGAAAGTAAGTGTGTTATTTGAAGGCTTGATTTTGGGGCCATAGATTTCTCCCTGACTTCAGGGCCTCCTGACACCCATCAATATGCTGAAGCAGATGAATATTTTATGTCATAAGTGAAAGCCCTGAGTTAAATCCCCCCACAAAATGGAAGTACTTGACATCTGCAGCTGTGGGCAGCTTGTTTGTTTCCCAGACTGGCATCAGTCCTTCCAGAATGTCTGCTGCTGCAAAAATCAGCTTTTTAGTAATTATTTCCTCTGCAGAGGGAGGCAGAGGGGGTGTTTGTTCTGCCTTTAGGAACATCCCTGATAACAAATGCTGCAGAGCAGTACCCAAATATCAGCAGTGAGCATCTTGCCAGCCACCCTTGCAGTGGTTCATTCTGTGTCTGATAGGCTTTACCTCAGGGGGCTGGCACTTAATCCCCTTAGTCACGAGCTCATATAAAGTACATGTCTGAGCATAGCTGAAAATAACTCAGTTGATATTTTCTAATATTCCATTTTCTATGGCCTCATAACCTGAGCCATTAAGTCAGAAGTGTGTGCTAATTCTGGCCTCCAAACAGCTCTCTGCTGCCCTGAGGCCCAGGTGCTGCAGGACTAAGGAAAGATGATTGAGCAGTTTCAGAGCCTCTGTCACCAGTGACGGATGCACTGTGACACTGCTGTTGTGTCAGCTGAGTCCTGGGGCTGGGGAGCTGCTAAGACTGCAGTGAACTGCATGGATGCAGCCAAACTCCTTGGGAACGAGTCATTAAGCCTGGGAGAGCACCAGGAACAGAGGGGAAATATCCTGACATGTGACTTGAAGAAATACAGCAGTGCCAAACCTGGCAAGGGAGGGAAGAAATAAAGAGTCACTGCTGTAACAGCATCCTAAATCTAGATGTTCAGGTGCAGAGCATCGTGTGTTCTCTATCTGCACTGCAGCCAGCACGGACAAACTGTCATTTAAAATTCCCTGGCTTTTCTGGGGATAGCATCAATGATTTCCCATTCTCCC